GTCCTAAGAAAGTGGCCCCTCGCGTCTATTCTCTGCAGGATCCCCGAGGAGACTTTTTTTGGCAGATCTCTACTGCCCATCCTTGAGCTTGCTGGCACACGGCATTTAAAGCTTGTTTTCTGCACCAGATGATGAGGACGAATCAATTATCCTTTCTATCTGCACCTTCATTTGCTGTAAAAATCCTAGATGCAATGTGCAAGGGGCAGGGGGCAAAAATGTGCAGAGGGCAGTCACCCAAATCTAATCATAAGTTATATTTTTAATTTTGACTTAAATTTTCCTATTGAAAACATTCAGTTTCCCTATTGCCCCTTCATAGCAGTGATTTCTAGAAGTCTCATGTAAATGTCTCCAGTCAGTTACTGTCTCCTGAAGTGTATCCCCAGTCCTTCAACTCCTATAGCATGTTTACAGTCTCCTGCTGCATGAAAAAAGTCTCTCTTGTATCCTGTCTGCAGTCTCTGACCATCTCTTGTATCATGTCTGCAGTCTCTGACAATCTCCTGTATCATGTCTGCAGTCTCGGATCATCTCCTGTATCATGTCTGCAGTCTCTGACCATCTCTTGTATCATGTCTGCAGTCTCTGACAATCTCCTGTATCATGTCTGCAGTCTCGGATCATCTCCTGTATCCTGTATCATGTCTGCATTCTCTGACCATCTCTTGTATCCTGTCTGCAGTCTCTGACCATCTCTTGTATCCTGTCTGCAGTCTCTGACAATCTCTTGTATCATGTCTGCAATCTCGGATCATCTCCTGTATCATGTCTGCAGTCTCTGACCATCTCTTCTATCCTGTCTGCAGTCTCTGACAATCTCTGACCCTTGCTGTATCATGTCTGCTGTCTCCGACCATCTCTTGTATCATGTCTGTAGTCTCTGACCATCTCCTGTATCATGTCTGCAGTATCTCACTGACCATCTCATGTATCATGTCTGCAGTCTCTGACCATATCTTGTATCATGTCCTCAGTCTCTGGCCATCTCATGTATTATGCCCGCAGTCTCTAACCACATATTGTATCATGTCTGCAGTTTCTGACCATCTCTTGTATAATGTTTTCAGTCTCTGACCATCTCTTGTATCATGTTTGCAGTCACTGACCATCACTTGTATTATGTCATATCTGCAGTCTTGCCTGACCATCTCTTGTATCATATCCTCAGTCTCTGACCATCTCTTGTATTATGTCCGCAGTCTCTGACCACATCTTGTATCATGTGCTCAGTCTTTGACTATCTCTTATATCATGTCCTCAGTCTCTGACCATCTCCTGTATCATGTCCTCAGTCTCTGACCATCTCTTGTATCATGTCTGCAGTCTCCGACCATCTCTTGTATCATGTCCTCAGTCTCTGGCCATCTCTTGTATTATGTCCACAGTCTCTGACCACAAATTGTATCATGTTTGCAGTTTCTGACCATCTCTTGTATAATGTTTTCAGTCTCTGACCATCTCTTGTATCATGTCGGCAGTCTCTGACCATCTCCTGTATCATGTCCTCAGTCTCTGACCTTCTTTTTGCACCATGTCCTCAGTGTCTGACCATCTCTTTTAGTAAGACTACAGTGTATGACTATATCATTGTACATGCGGAAAACCAAGGCCACGCCCACAGTCCAGAGCATTGGAGAGAAGAGCAGAACACTGGAGGTCAGGGGAGTGAGAAAGAAATAAGGTCAGTATATCAGTTTATTCCTGTACCCCTAGACTTAAGAAGCATTTAACCCTTACAATACAAGAAGGGGGTAGGGCACTGTAAGGGTTTATTTTTTTTTGTATCACACATTATCAAAGTGTTAAAGGGGGCTTACCAACAGCTAACAACTATCTCAGCTTAAGGCACCACATCTAAGGAATGTAGGCTGCAATATATTACATTTGTGTTCTTTGGTTTATATACACTTTGAAGGGATCTCCCTATTACTTGCACCTTCTGTGGTTAGCGAGTCTCATAAGAAACCTTTTATTAAAATGTAAGAACAGAAGTAACTGACAGACATGGCATGCGCACCGTGACATGGGCCACAAAGAATTCCTAAGAAAAAAAATTGGTTAAACTAACAAGTACTTTACAGAACTCACCTCTTTTTTCTTTTACTGACTTTATCACATAACAAATGCAATCATTTAGATCAGGGGTCTCCAAACTACGGCCTGCAAGACAAGTGTAGCCCCCTGCAAGATTTTAGATTTGGATGTACAGAGGAGTCTCATGGGGACCCAGATGTAAGGGAGACTCTGATGGGGACCCTGACGTATGGGAGACTCTCATGGGGACCCAGACGTAAGGGAGACTCTCATGGGGACCCAGATGTAAGGGAGACTCTCATGGGGACCCAGATGTAAGGGAAAACTGATGGGGACCCTGATGTAAGGGAGAATCTGATGGGGACCCTGATGTAAGGGAGAATCTGATGGGGACCCTGATGTAAGGGAGAATCTGATGGGGACCCTGATGTAAGGGAGAATCTGATGGGGACCCTGACGTATGAGAATGATGGGGACCCTGGTATGAGAATCTGATGGGGACCCTGATGTAAGGGAGAAACCCCAATGTAAGGGAGAATTTGATGGGGACGTGTAAGGGAAAATGATGGGGACCCTGATGTAAGGGAGAATCTGACACCCTGATGTAAGGGAGAATCTGATGGGGACCCTGAAAGGGAGACAACCCTGATGTAAAAGAATCTGATGGGGACCCTTAAAGGAAACTATGTCATTGATATAACTCTGACATATTAGGGCTCTAAAGGGGACAAGTAAAACATAAAACTATTAGTCAGTATTTATTCTGCTAATGGCCAGTGTATATTCTACTATTAGTCAGTGTATATTCTACTATTAGTCAGTATTTATTCCGCTAATGGCCAGTGTATAGTCAGTGTGTATTCTAATGGCCAGTGTATAGTCATCTAATGGCCAGTGTATAGTCATCTAATGGCCAGTGTAATAAAAAATTATTTACATATAAAACATGTTTTCCAAAAACAATAACATAAAATTCTACACAATTCACAAAAATTACAAGATATTCACCCTCCCACAAAATCACAAAATACTTTCCCTCAGATCCTTTCCCTCCATATATACAATAATAACACTGTGCTTTCCCTCCACCGCTGTCCCTTCACCGTTGTATCACTCTACAAATACAAAAAAGAACAAATTAACATTATTATTATTATACAGTATTTATATAGAGCCAAAGGGTTTGCTCAGCGCTCATCACACCAAACCACAAAACCCTCTTTT